TGTTCTCATTTTATTCCCTAGACCTTCTCTAGATTTCTTTCTTACTTAATTAAAATTCTTATTTAAAATGTACAGTCAGCTAGTCATGGTAGCACACACCTTTAATCCCAGGACTTAGGAAGAAGAGGCAGGGCTAATCTCTGACTTCAAGGCCAGCTTGATCTATAGAGTGAGTTCAAGGACAACCCAGGCTACATGGAGAAATCCTGTCTCAACAAACCAAAAATAAAATAAAATAAAATGTACTGTCTATGTCAATAGAATCATACTTGTGTGTTAGGTTGTTTCTTATTAGGGCAAAAAACAGCAAGTAGTGGAATCTGATGGTACATGTCTGGAATACTAACTACTCAGGTGGCCAAAGCAGAAACATCACAAGTTCAAGGCCAGCCTGGGCAACTTAATAAGCCCCTGTCTCAAAATACAGACTGGGTTGAAGCAAATACATAGAATTTCTTAGCATGTGTGAGGTAACAGGCTCATAGCAAATACAACAAATAATATAAGACAAAGGAAGAATAAAAGTGAAGAAGAGCATGAGAGAGAGAGAATATAAGGCAATTTGTCTTATTGTGATAACTTTGCTTTTGTCATTGCTATTTATTTCTACGTACATATGGCAAATAGAGGTGTAAGGTAGAATAGTTCCTCTTATTCACTTAATAATTATATTTAGAAAGTACAAATCCTTAGGTATTCCAAACCTTTTAGAAAGAGCAAATCTCTACGTACAACTGTGGAGGCTTGCTCCTTTTGGCATAATTATAGCCTTTTTTTCCCAGGCCGGCCAGCCACATCAACCAGTTGACTATCTACTATGCTTATGTTCAATAAGAAACTCTATGGGGAGGTTCCAAGATGGAAGCAACCAGTGTGTACCCTATCTAAGGGGCAGAATATCAGAGACTAATAAACAATGACTAAACAAGTAGCTGTCTCCTGGTCCAGGAGTCATCAACTGTTACCCCCCTGCCCTTTCTGCATACCAGAACGAGTGCAGACCCGTGGAGCCAGGGACCCTCCCTCTGCTCCAGCATCCAGACTTCGAATCCCTCCTGCCTCTCCCTGCCACAAGAAAAGCCTCTTGATTTCTTGGATAGAATTCCAACCTCCAAACCATGGTTCTACAGGTCCCCCTGTGAGACCAGGTAGACAATAAAATCATACTGAATCCTAATTCCAAGACGGTTAGCCCAGATGAATCAGAGTACCAGTACCAGGAGCACAGTGTCTGCTAGGCCTGTAAGCCGCAGCTCACTGCTTTCTGACAGCACTGGAGCACCTGCAGCTGCCATCTGAAGCTCCACGAGACTGCTGCCATGACTGCCAACTAAGGCAGATTCCCCTCCCCCATACCTTTTTCATCATCTTGAAGACTACTCCAGACTCCAGAAATTGGCAGATCCAGTCTTTCAAGCAGTACTTCTAGTTGAGGAGGCCAGTGGTTCCTTATCTGATCATAAAGGCCTGAGAAAGCAAGCAGGTTCCAGGAACAAAGGCAAGGCTACAAACAAACAAATGCCTAAGGGCCAGCATAGGACCACAATTAACAAAAACCAGAACATCATGCCTCCACCAGAAACTCCAAAAAACAATGGGTATCCTAAGGCAGCTGAAACAAAGAAAAATGACCTTAAATCTATGCTTATACAGTAATTGAGGCATATAAAGAAGAAACAAATAAATCTCTCAAAGAAATATAGGAATATACAACCAAACAAATAGAGGCCATCAAGGACAGACAGGAAAACACAATCAAACAGGTGAAGGAAATGAATAAAATTGTTCAAGACCTGAAAACAGAATTATAATCAATAAAGAAAACAAACAGAGAAACCCTGAAGATAGAAAAACTTAAAGGTCAGGAATCACAGATGTAAGCATCACCAACAGAATATAAGAGATAGAGGAGAGAATCTCAGGCATTGAAGATACAATGGAAGGAATTGATACATCTCTCAAAGAAAACATTAAAATGGAAATTTTTTTTAACACAAAACATCCAAAAAATCAAGGAAACTATAAAAAGACGAAACCTAAGAATAATAGGAATAGATAAAAAAGAAGATTCTGGAGTCCAAAGTCCAGAAAATATTTTCAAGAAAAATAGAAGAAACCTAAAGGAACAAACTCACTTAAACATACAAAAGGCACACAGAACACCAAAAAAACTAGACCAAAAGATAAATTCCTTCTGCCACATAATATCCAAAACACTAAATCTACAGAACACAGAATAAATATTAAAATCAGCAAGAGAAAAAAGGCCAAGTAACATATAAAGATAGACTTATCAGAATCACATCAGACTTCTCAAAAAGACTATGAAAGCCAGTAGGTCCTGGGCAGATGGCAGCAGACACTTAAAGGCTAACCCAGACTATTATACCCAGCAAAACTGTCAATCACCATAGATGGAGAAAACAAGATATGCCATTACAAAACCAAATTTAAACAGTATCTATGTACCAACCCAGCCCTAGAGAAGATACTAGAAAGAAAACTTGAATCCAAAAAGGTGAACTACACCCCCCCAAAAAAGAAAAGAAACTGGATACAGAAAATTTCACAACAGATAAACCAAAGAAATAAACAGGCACACAAACAGAATATTACCATCAACTTCACAATAAAAGGAACTAATAACCATTGGTCACCAATATCTATAAACATCAATGGACTCAATACTCCAATAAAAAGACACAGCTTAGCAGAATGGTTGCAGCAACCAGCTCCAATATTCTGCTACATTCAAGAAAGACACCTCTGCAACAAAGATAGACACTACCTCAGAGTAAAGGGCTGGAAAAAGTTTTCTGGACAAACAGACTCAAGAAGCAAGCTGGAGTAGCCATCCTAATATTTAATAAAATATACTGCAACCAAAATTGATCAAAAGAGATGGGGAAGAACATGTCATTCTCATCAAAGTAAGCATCCACCATGAGGACATCACAATCCTGAATATCCATCCTCGTGGTACTGGTAGTTGAAGCCTATGACTTGAGGGCTAGCATATTCAGTTTCTGTTGAGAGCCTTCCTCCTGTTCTACAGCTGAGTACCTTCTCGGTTTATGTTTATATGGTCTGGAAATAAGAACTCTAGTTCTTTTATTTTTCTGTGAGGAAACCTGCACTGATTATGAGGACTTTACTGTGTTCTCCAACATTACATTAATTGTCTTCCAGAGATTCTGTTTTTGTTTTTGTTGTTGTTGTTGTTGTTTTTTCAAAAATATCTCAAAGTTCTCTGACATAAACTGTTCTAAATTGATATGTGTCTTTCTTGCTATGGGAAAGGGGCCCTGATCTGTTCTTCTACAACCAGTCTGTGGTGATTTGAATGAGATTGGCCCTATAGGTCTGTCTGTATATTTGTATGTTAGTCCCAAGTAGATGAACTGTCAAGGAAGGGTTAGAAGGTATGACCTTGTTGTAGTAGGTGTGGCCTTATTGGAAGAAATGTGGGTTCAGGAAGTGGCTTTGAGGCCCAGTATATATCTCTGTCTATGCCTGTGGATTGGGATATAAAGATCTCAACTACCATTCCATCACCATGCTGGCATGAATGCCATGCTTCTTCTATAATAATAATGTACTAAGTCTTCGAAACTGTAAGCAAGACCCAATTAAATGCTTTACTTTGTAAGAGTTCCCTTGGAAACGGTGTCTCTTCACAGACATAGAACAGTGACTAAGACACCATCTGTTTTACTTGGGGTTTCTATCGACTTGAGAAAACACCATAAACAAAAGCAGCTTGGTGAAGAAATGGTCTATTTCAGCTTATAATTCCATGTCGTAGTGCAGGACAGGAACTCAAGAAATGCGGGAATCTGAAGTCAGGAACTGAAGCAGAAGCCATGAAGCAAGGCTTCTTCCTGGTTTGCTTGGTCTGCTTTCTTATATAAGCCAGGACCACCTGCTCAGGGATATCATCATCCACAATGATTTAGGTCCTTCCACATCAATCATTAATCAAGGAAATGGCCTACAGACTTGCCTCTGAGCAATGTGATGAAAGCATTTTCTGAAATCAGATTCCTCTTTCCAGATAACTCTGCCTTGTGTCAAGTTCACAGCAAATCAAAAAAAAAAATAAAAATAAAAATAAAAAATAAAAAAAAATAAAAAAAAAGAAAAGAAAAGAAAAAAGAAAACCAAAATCAACCAACCAAAACATGAGACACCATCCCCCTCACCCTCAATATTGGCCTTTGTGCAAGACAAGTACATATGTTCTTTGCTCCTTTATGTTGAGTATTTTTCTATGGTCCCAAAAGTGACACATTGTGATTTAGTTCTTGGGAATCAAAGTATTATAGCTTGTCTATGGAATGTCTCCATACATTAAAGGCTTGGTCCTCTGACTGATGCTTTTAGGAGGTAGTGGAAACATTTAAGAGGCAGAGCCTTCTGTAAAGTCAAGGTCTCAGGTTATATGTTTTCTAAGGGACTTGGCAAGTACTAGTATCTTTTTTTTCCTCTGCATTCTGTCTTGAAGTGAAAGGCACTGTTCTGCACACATTCTACCACATTGCACTGTCGACCACAGACACAAAAACAATCAGCCTACCAAACTTGGATTGGAACATCTAAAACAATAAGCCAACATAAATCTTTTAACTTTATTAATTTATGTATAGTTTACAGTAATGGAAATATGATTAACAAACATGGACTGATAACCAATAACAGTGGGTAAGTAAGCATGCTTACTAAATATGTATTCCCAATTATAGATGAATTGCAGATACATACATATGACATACAATGATGGAAATATAATATGTTATTGACTTTTGTTAAGTACTTTTGTCTGGGTGATTATATGGGAGAACACAAAAGGATTCATTTTTTCCTTCATAAATTGATCAAATGGCTGCTTTACTTTAAATATAAAATTATCTGATCATCTGAACTGGTACAGTTTCATTAAACAAACAGAAGATAATACTTCGTAAAACTACCATATAGAAATAATAAATAACACTGTAAAAACTAAAGCTATGAAGACAAAGCATTAATGAGGATGAACTAAATAGACATCATCTGTTTTTTGGAAACAAAATAATTAATGAAGTTATTCTGTAAGCATTGCTGTCAGTTTCTCAGTTACTTTTGAGCTTGTGTTTAGTTTATAGAAGAAGTACAGAAATGTATAGGAAAGTCTTAAAATTTTTGGCACTTGAAGAAGCAATTTGAGGCTTAGAGCTCATGCTATAAAATATAATATAGAAATAAAGTCCTCCCCTTTTAGGGTGATGAGAATCTACCACAAAATAGTGTCACATTGGTACTTTTGTGAATGATATAGAAAAGGAAGGGATGATCTACCACAAACTGTGGACCTCCATGACCAGTTCTCCCTGTCATAACTGCTCCAGTCCCACCAGTTGCTATTGTGCCCTCCTCATTGACATCCACTGTGGCTTGATGGAACACCTCAGAAAGGAAAAGGTCATCTCTCTCGGACATTCCTGAGAAGTTGGCCTTGTCCTCATTGAAGGCATCCTCCATGCCCATGCTTCTCAGAATGGATTTGAGTTCATAACGTTGTTCTAGTTTGAACTTGGGAATGTAAACATCAACGTTATCTTCAGCCATTGTGTCTTTGCTGATCCACTTGTTGAGTTTATCAAAGTTTATTTCCCTTTCCAGCTGCAAAACATAAAGAACAAACAAAAAAGTAAATTTAAAAAAGAATAAAAAAATAGCTCGAAGTCTAATGTTAAAAATCAATTGCCACATGGCTGGAGAGACAGTTCAGTGGTTAAGAGCAATGGTTACTCTTCCAGGGACACAAGGTCAATCTCAAGCACCGAGATGGCAGCTCACAACCGTAAGTGGCTCCAGTCTCAGGGGATCCAGTGCCCTCTTCTGGCCTCCATGAATACTGCACATATGGTGTATACAGACAGTCATGTTGGCAAAATAGGCATAAACACAAATATAATAAGAAATAATGTTAGAAAAAGTAAATTGCAAAGATGAGTGTAGTGGTGCATGCTCTTGAATCGTGCACCTAGGAGGCAGAAGAGGGTGGGTCTCTGAATTCAAGACCATCCTGGTCTATTCCAAGCAAGCCAGGGCTTCATACTGAGTCTCATATTAGTTGCCAATTGCTCCTTAGTTACAGGTGGACTTCATGTGCCCCTTTACTATCCACACTGATATTGTAAAAAATACAAAATAAAATAAAATATAAAATACAAACGTAACCATTTTATTAAAAACTAAAAAAAAAAAAAGGATTTTGAAATTTTGGGACATAACACATGTATTATCAAGTGACTCATTCATTTCTATGACAAATTGCACACCATGTCCAAGGCATAGGTGCTCATTTTTAGCAAAGAAAAATTTGATATCAGATTTTAGAACAGTTGAAATTGTAATGCATTACCAACTCCAAGCCACTGGATGCATCATCGATGTCATCAGGAAGCAACAGGAAAAGGCTGATATTTCCATAATATGGAATTTCTAGGATCTGAGTCTTTACATCCTCTATGTATCCAATGTTCAGCTTTTCACGTAGGTGCATCATCTGGACATTTTTAGTCTCATGCTAATATTGTTAAAAAGTAAAATATAAAAGTCAATTCTCAGTGATTTACAATATTTACAAGAAAGGCTAAACAATAAATGATTTTTACTTCAATGCTAATAAGAAAATGTGTTTTCTTCAATCAGCAAAGTCAATTACTTGTGTATTTTTATAGAAGGTACTCAAACTTAATGGATTTTTTTTCATTTTATAGACACTACTTTGTAAGATTAATAATAATAAATAATACCTAAAATGAGCCAGGAACTTAAGTAAATCCTATTGTATAGTTACAACAGCCTTTTGAACTACATATTATTCTAGCTTTAAAGATCAAAAACAAAACACATGAATGATAAATGAAGCCATAGTATAAGCACAGAACCAACATTTAAGTCTAGGCAAGTGGAATTATCAAACCATGGTCATCACTTCTAGCCACACCGACTCTTAGAAAATTATTGAATGAAAGCAATTTGAAAGAGTCAATATCCAACATTCATAAACTGTAACTAACAAGTTGTTGGTAAATCAATGAGTACTCTCTAAGTTTTCTGTATTCTCTGTAAAGCTTTAAATATATGTTAAGAAAATACATCTTGTCTCATACCGAGTTCACACGAAAAGGATAAAGCTCTTTAATTTTCTTAAATGGAGTTTTCCACTTTCCTTTAAAGTAGATAGCATTCACCAGGACCAACTTGGTGTCTCCATCTACGGAACCTTCAGCTAATAGGTTTGGGATTTCACCTTTAGAGAACACAGCACATGTTTAGGTTTTTATAAGAGGAACTGTATAAATACACATTTAAAATAATTTTACAGTATTTGGAAATTTATAGTATTTTTATGAATCTTATAAATTATATATATATGTTTTATAAATTTATAGTATTTTTTTACTTCCTTTTATATTGTTACAAATTTTTTTAGTAGTCTGAGGCTTATTCAACTCAGAGGGAGATGAAGGAGGATTGACAAATTTCAAGGGACTAGGAATTAAATTCAAGGATGGTTGCAAAGGAAATCAAAGTTTTCTATGTGGAAAAAAAAAGAAGAAGAAATTTCTAAAGTTTTACCTTTGGTTTGAGTCTTGACCCAGGAATTAATCTTTTTCCTAGCTTCTTCCGCACATTCACGGAAGTCTACTGCCTCTGGTTCTGTAGAGTAATATTTCTTACAGAGTTGTACGTATGCCTTTAAAACAAGGAAACACCAAACGTTATATACAGCATGGGTTGAATAAGCTAAGGTGTGATGAATTTCAGGCCCCAACCAAAACAGGGAGAGATGAAAAGAATGGGAGTTGAGTTGAATGGGGTGGGTGCAGATCCAAGGAACAGTTTTACTTCCACCACTAATGCTCAGCCCTGAACCCCAGCTTCAATTCTATCTGCCTTGTGCATTAAAGACACTGAATAAGGACAAAGGTATAACTTAGGGAATAGAGGAGAATCATTGTTATATCATTGGGAAAGGCAGTCAGATCACTATCATAATTTGCTGCTCTTCACATGAGACATCTTCAACAGGATTTGGAGATCCTAGCAGCACAGAAGAGACAGTAAGCCCATCCTTTAAAAACTCACTTAAAATTCTGACTCTGCTCCCATGAATTGTGGCAAGGTGTTTCGAAACTGACCTCACTGCTGGTACCAGCCCTTCTAGTTAAAGGCTTCACTTACTTCCTTGAATTTTGCAGACTTTTCTCCAAACAGCTTACTGGCACTTTCCAATAAATAACCTCTCGAGCATGTGTTAATTGCAGAACTGAGGGAGTGGAAGGATGAATGGACTTTATCTCTTGCTTGTGCCTTAATAGAAGGAAGAAATTTTCATTAATAACACAGCAATACTAACTAAAGAATCCTAAAACAATAACATTTTCTCAACACAATCTATACACTTATGGCAGAAGACTATGATTGGAGAATGGCAATGACTGAAAAGTTATCATGTCTGGATGCTGTCCCGGATCTGCCCCTTATTACGTAGGATGCCATCAGAATACTTATTGCAACACTGAGTCTCAGTTTTCTGTTTACGGATGGAAGAACTGTGCTACATTCCTTCTCAGTTCAATGCTATGACTTAGTGATAGAATACCAAAGAAAAATGAAGACCCAAGCCAGGTACCTGTAAAATAGGATCAGGGTATATTTCCCTCTGTATCTGCTGTGTGAAATCACAGCCCTTGAAGCTCTCTGGGGTTTCCCTATTGATGTCGAAGCCACCAATTTTGTTAAACTTCAGCACCTGCAATCAGAATAAGAAGGAATGATAACATGGTCATGCAAAATTACTTCACAATGGCTTAGGTACCCCTACTTTGGCATTTCTCAACCCATGGGTTGCAGCCTCTTTGGAATCGACTGACCCTTCCAGAGGGATCACCGAAGGCAAGCAGAAAACCCAGATATTTACATAACGATTCATAACTAGAAAAATTACAGTTATAAAGTAGCAAAAAATTAATTTAATGGTTGGGGGTCACCAAAACATGAGGAACTGTACTAAAGGGTCACAGGAAGGTTGAGAACCACCTTTGTATGTGGAAAGCAGACATAGGCTTTCTGTGTCATAAAAATCTATGAAGTACTTGGTGCTAACTGCTTTACTGGACATTCTAGAAATCAATGTTATTATGAGATGATTCATGAAGTCTACCTTTAATTATCTAAATTTCTTCCAGCCCACAAACTGTCTTGAAGAACACCAATAGTACTTTTTATTTTTTGTCTTTAATGTTTTAAATAAATCAATAGAACTAACTCATCCTCTCTTTTCTGAAGTGATCTTTCCTACTAATATATATTTAAATTGAGGAAAGTTAGATGCCAAAGTGAGCTTCAACATGAATATGGGTCACCTAATATTAACAAAGATCACCTAAGATGAGATATTCACAAATACTATGTGCGCACACAGAGAGAAATTAATGTATGTGTCAGGGGGCAATTTACAGATATTTGATTCACTGAATCTCTTACATTGTAAGTAGGTGGTTTCATACAGCCCAGTGAAGGTGGTGGATACAGAAGGTGATGGCCTCTGTAAAGCTACCTCAACTCCCTTCTCTACAAAACTGTCACCAGTCCATCTTATTCTTCCACAGACTCATTTAACAGGGCTCCCTACTTCCAATTTCTTTGGAAACCTCTGGCCTGAAGCCCTTCTTCATGAGACCCATATGAAGAGGAAAGCAACTTGCAAATAAGCTGGTAATTGGAGCTTTGAAATGAAGGTATCTAGCCAGTCCGTGGATTCCAAGACTAGAAAGAGAGGAATTGCTCTTTGGAGATCTTTCTCTGCTCCCCAAGTCATATGCCTCTCTCTCTCTCTCACTCACTCTCTCTCTGAAAGAAGGAATAATTCTGTATAGATTTTCTGGTTTTTCTACTCCCTAAAGCAATTGACCTTTAAATCAGGGTTCTCCTGGAGAGCAAGAGAGCCTCCCTGAGTCTCAGTAAACTTTACTGGCGGCAGTGACTCTTCAAGTGTGAGTTTATTCTGGCCCATGCAGAGATCTGAAAAGGCAGCCTGGCTGGGACACACACTCAAAGACTAACACTAAACACAGAGCTGACAAACATCTCTGGCATGCATAAAGCTCTTCTGTAGCCTTGTGCTGTCTAGGGGATCACCTTACTATCTTGTTTCCTCCTTCTCCTCTAACAATATTACATATTCTAGCTTACCGTTTCTCACCCTGGTGTCCTAATTATCTTATCTGTAGAACAAGCATGATAATCATTGCATCCATTTCATAGGATTCAGAGTTATGTAAACTCCTGACAGGTTTTCAGAAGGATTATTTATAAGCACTAAAATTAGAATTAATATGATTTAGCTATTACTACAATTACTATTTCTAGATGCTCTACATATTATTTCTCATCTTCACAGCTATTGGGTAAGTTACAGGTGTTCTTTCCCATTTTATAGGTGAGAAAATCGAGACTCAGAGGATTTCAATGTCTTTACACCCTTAGCTGAGGGCAATGATAACACTTGTCACATAAAGTTCTCCCATTGTTTAATCTAGAAGGGAAGCAGGAAAACCATATAGATCCGTGCTTCTCCCCTACATTAAAAAAAAAAAATCTTTTTGTATTTATAAACCAATCAAGTTAGCACTTGAATTCTAAAATCGTCTCATGCAGCAGAGCCACAAAAAAAAAAAAAAAAAAAAAGTCCCACACCCTGACAAAACTTTCTTGATTTAGGAAATCTGTGTCTGTCTAGAGTGACCACTAGGTGAATTTTTCCTTCAGCATATGAAATTATTTTTTTAGTAACCCTGAGTATTTCACCTGAGATTTCTACTCTCGCTATATTGCTCCTGGTCCTTTACATTGAAAACACTAATGCTTTCGAAGGTTTTGTGAAATGTGGTTTACTATGGTTCTTTTCAAGGCAAAGAAAATAAAGAGGAAGGAGCGTTGCACAGCCTTGTTGCCACCAGAGTTGAGCAACTGAGCTGTGTTGTAAGACACGCTGTTTAAACTGCCACGGGAATAGGGAGGAACCCAGCTGCCTCCTGACCTGCAGCAAGACTAGCTCATGTTGTCTCTGTGACACTGTCCTTAAAAAGAGGCTCACCTGAAGTGGGTCACTATGTTCCTGAGAAGACTGTGTTTGTGCTCAGATAGGATTCTCGTGGGAAACCAGAAAAGAGCCAGAGGCATTTTGGTGTGACTGACAGCACAATCCATGCTTGTACTGAAAACATATACTCTTAATGTTTGCATGCATGTGAAATGCAATGAAATGTTAATTACATGATTTTCATATCCAGGGGCCTGACGTAACAAGTAACAGGATCGTGAGAAATTTAAATACATTGTGTGAATCTTCATGTGTGTTGCAGTATGTATTTTAAGTAGTTCTGAAGTCTAGGGAAGAGACCCCCGTTCAAATCTGGGTCCATTCTTTAAGGAAGGAAGACAGAAACCATGTCACATAAAATCTCTGACAGTGGTGCTTCACATGCTGTCCACATTGGTTTTGAAGACTGGCTGTCTATAACATCCATCCCCACTGTGTGGATGAAAATGTGGATAAATCTATTAAAGCTATATCTAACTACACACCTCTATGAGTATGCTGACAAAGACCACAGTGACTTTTTCTTCTTTGTGACCCTGGCTTGAAAACATCAGGTCTCTGGAACAAACACTACTCACAATGGTGGAGTGCTAAGAGGGAGCCTCTTAGGAGTTAGGAAGGTATGGGTGCCCTTGCCAACAGGCTGCCAGTGATGTCATCTGTACATGGCACTGACTGGAAAACCAACTGAGGTAGCATATGCAAAACGCTTGCTTTGCAGAGACTGAGCATGGTACAAGTTAAAGGAGAGTTTTTGTCGGTAACTCTTTTCATCCTTGTGGAGATGCTAATATCCTTCTGCTATTTGCCGTAGTTTCTTGGGTCATTCCACAGGCTTGAAGTTATGGAGTCTGTGTTGTAATGCCTAGTGATGACAATCACACTACCATTCCTGCATTCTTAGAGTCAAGATGACCTCAGCACAAAACAAAAAGCCTACAATTCAACTCAGAAGACATTTGGTTCTGATGTAAAGTTTAAACTCACTTCGGCCATCTGGTGTTCAGTGTCACCCCTGGCGCCAAGGAAAACCATGGCCAATGTGGATGAGATGCTCCATGGAGAGATGAAGATATTCTGGGCAGGGTTTGCTTTGTCTATGTGCTTAAAAATATTGAGGGCAAACATGGTATTTGCCATGGAAAGTTCTTCCATTGCGTCAATCTAGAAGGGAAATGGAAAGAGAAAAAGTTCTGAATGACAAAGTCAACAGAGCCCTGCTACATCCTGCCCAAGGCTTCCTTTCTGACTTTCCCCCATAAAACAAAATGAGGGAAGGTGAAAGGGTTTAGAGGCCAGAACTAGGTGCAGCTCGCCATGCCCAGGCATAACATCCCCGTTACCATCCTGAAACGGGACTTTCCTGCCCTTTCATTCTTCCCCAGACTATGAAATCAGTGTAGCCAATCCTGAGATACGATGAATGACACTTTGTGATATTCGTATAATAGGAACCGTAATAACAATACTGCTGGGTTTGAATTCTTACTGTCTATGTGATAGACCCAGTCGACTGTAGACACTAAACTATAATAAACACTTAACTTCTGTAATCACTTAATCACTGAAATGCTAGGAGGAAAAGGACTTCTGCTTCGGGACAAAGGAAGATACTGCTGCTTCACAGAAGCTTGTTGACCATGCCATCAGTAACAAAGGATAGGAGGAGAAATTGAAGACAGAAAGGTGACCTGCAAGGTCACTCTCAGCTTTCACATTTCACCCATATTCACACTGTACATGCCCACACCACATACAAATACATACATACGCAGAATAGAATACTCATATCCAAACACGTACACATTCTTGTTTGGTTCGGGTGAGACAATCTTTCAACTTCTCTGTTTTCAAAAGTGTGTAGACTTGTTTGGGGGTTGGTATCTGCGCCAAGATCCTATCATTCCCACAATATACTCAACACACATGCCTCAGCCTTGTTCTAAAAAAAATATCCCATGGGCTGGAGACTTCACTTTAGGACCTCTTCTCTTGCCACACAGGTTCGGGTGCCCACAGGAATTCAGAGATAATCCAACGTGTACAAGCCACACAACTGGCTTAAGTTATAGGTGTCTAAAACTAAAGGACAGGCACACCTTTGATGACTTAAGGCTCAGCGTGCAGCTGGGTGCTGGCACACACCAAGGGGTGTGGGATGGGATGCTGGGCAATTACCGTTTTCCTAAGTGTCTGTTTTTCTTTCATCATAACCTCAAATAACCTATAATTACAAAAATGCATAAATATACCAAACAATGACAACACTCATCTCTTTGTAAACCTTCTGGGACAAAGAGTTTCCAGAACTGGGGAGCGGTGGGGAGTCCCCTGGATGAAGCAAGCTACTGTCTTGGCTGTCTACAGAAGTGCTGTAGTGTGGAAGAGACAAGAATTTGCAACAAAATTTGTCATTCATAAGGTGATGCAGTTGCATTTTTGTAAAGACAAAAGAGTAAATTAAATTGTGCCCCTTAACTAATATCAAGTATATACAAAGAACTAAAGAAGCTGATAAACAGCAAACCAAGTAATCCAATTAAAAAATGGGGAACAGAGCTAAACAGAGAATTCTCGACAGAGGAATATCCAATGGCAGAGAAACACTTAAAGAAATGCTCATCCTCATTAGCCATCAGGGAAATGCAAATCAAAACAACCCTGAGATATCACCTTACACCCATCAGAATGGCCAAGATCAAAAACTCAAGGGACAACACATGCTGGAGAGGTTGTGGAGAAAGGGGAACCCTCCTCCACTGCTGGTGGGAATGTAAACTGATACAACCACTCTGGAAATCTATCTGGCGCTTTCTAAGACAATTAGGAATAGTGCTTCCTCAAGACCCAGCTATACCACTGCTAGGTATATACCCAAAGTTTGCTCAAGTACACAAAAGGGATATTTGCTCAACCATGTTTATAGCAGCTTTATTTGTAATAGCCAGATCCTGGAAACAACCCAGCTGTCCATCAATGGAGGAATGGGTACAGAAATTGTGGTATTTTTACACAATGGAATACTATTCAGCAATCAAAAAGGAGGAAATCATGAAATTTGCAGGCAAATGGTGGGATCTAGAAAAGATCATCCTGAGTGAAATATCCCAGAAGGAGAAAGACAAACACGGTATATACTCACTTATATAGACCTATAAGATATGATAAACATAATGAAATCTATACACCTAAAAAAGATAATCAAGAGAGTGGACATGGGGTAAGATTATCAATCCTCGTCTAGAAAGACAGATGGGATGCGCATTGAACGTATGACAGGAGTCTACTGAGCGCATTTGAAAGACTCTAACTAGCAGTGTTTTCAAAGCAAAGACTCATGACCAAACCTTTGGCAGACTACAGGGAATCATAAGAAAGAAGGGGAGTTAGTCTGATGAGGAAAGGATAGGAGCTCCACAAGGACCAAATATATCTGGGCACAGGGTCTTTTCTGAGACTGACATGCAACCAAGGACCATGTAAGGATATAACCTAGAACCTCTGCTCAGATGTAGCCTGTGGTAGCTCAGTAACCAATTGGTTTCCCATAGTGAGGGGAACAAGGACTGTTTCTAACAGGAACTCAGTGACTGGCTCTTTGGCCTCCCCACCCCCCAAGGGAGGAGCAGTCCTGTTAGGCCACAGAGGAGGACTTTGCAGCCAGTCCTGAAGATACCTGATAAAACAGGATCAGATGAATGGGGAGGAGGTCCCCCCTATTAGTGGACTTGGCAAGGGGCACGGTGGAGATGAGGGAGGGAGGGAGGGACTGGGAGGGAATGAGGGATCGGGACATGGCTGGGATACAGAGTTAATAAAATGTAACTGATAAGAAAAAAATAAAATTAAAATAAATAAATAAATAAATTGTGCCCCTTAAATTCTTCCCCATCCCCTTGTCTCTTCATTTAATTTATTAGCGTATGTGTTTTGGGGGTAAGGGACACGTGAGTGTGAGCATGAGTGCACATGTCGTGGGGGAGGGGCATGTGGTGGGCGGGGGGCAACTCTGTGGAGCGAGTTTTCTCCTTCCATGTCTACGTGGGTTCTGGGGATAGGATGCAGGCCACCAGGCTTATGTGTCTCAGCAGCGCATTTGCACAGCTTTATCATGACCCCAGGAGGTGGGTATGGCTGACTGTTTTACAGCCTGCGTTGGGAAGCTCCTGGAGGTTAAGCAACCATTGTGAGGTCCCACAGCTCACTGCAGTGCGGCAGGGAGGCAAGCTGGGATCTGCCACAGGTAGCCCACTGACTTCCGGGTGGCTGAATGCTTCACATGCCGATACACGGCCTCACTATGACGGCCAGGGTTATGGAAGTGATGTGTTGAGAAACACTAGAAAGCGGAAACTAAAAAAGAAAGTAGCAAGTCCACATTGCTCCTCGAAAGTATATTAATTTAAAGGAAAACAGTATTGCTCTCCTTGCTCCATCACAGATGCCAGATTAAGGTAGGTGGTTCAAAAACTACCTTCTCTTCCAGTAACTTTAAATTATCATTATAAGGCTTTGTGCATAGGTTTTCTTAATACCTTATTTTAAAATTATGAATAAAATTCTTCTCTGTTCCTATGTGAAAATCCAAATGCGGGGTTAGCACCAGGAGAATGTATTCTGGTGTATCCCGTTCATAGATCTGGATAACAATCTGTGTGGTCACACTTTGGCCTTTACAAATGCCAAAGAGTCCACAGAGGAAGAGGATCCAGGCAGTCCTGATGAGACCTGATAGGCTAGGGTCAGATAGTAGGGGAAAAGGACAGTCCCTATCTGTGGACTAGAGGACTGGGGTAGGAGGTGAAGAGAGAGGGTGGGTGGGACCAGAGGAACTTAGGGAGGGGGCTACAACTGGGATACAAAGTGAATAAATTGTAAATAATAATAATAATAATAATAATAATAATAATAAGAAGAAGAAGAAGAAGAAGAAGAAGAAGAAGAAGAAGAAGAAGAAGAAGAAGAAGAAGAAGAAACAAATTTAAGAGTCAAGACCAATCATCATAAAAGGCAATTAATACTAAATAAGCACTTGGGGTAATTTGACAGAGAACAAAATTATTGAAATTATTCCAGATATATTTACTTCTTCAGGAATTCATATGTCTGAGGATGTAACTGATTGCGGTTGTCAGCGACCTCTGTTCAGACCCCCAGTTCTACCATAAAGAAAAGATTGAACTAAACAACCTAAATTATTTTTTTCAAAGGCTGACTTTGAACTCAACATGTAGCCAAGGATGATCTTGAACTTACTATCCTCCTTTATCTGCCTCCCAAGCGCTACAGTTACACATGTGTGACAAAGCCTGATTTATACAGTACTGGGTAGGGATTGAAACCAGGGCTTCCTGCATGCTAGGAAAGAGACACACCATCTCAGCTACACCCCTTGTCTGGGAACTCTACTTTTCTAATGATGTGCTGTTAATTTGATTTACATTGAATGATAGTTGATGTTTTTATTGCAGTTGCCTAATTACATCTGCTAGATTTTGTTTAGTGGGGAAAATCACAGGCCCTAACTCCTTTGGGATTTCTGCTATAGTAATGAAAATGTGAAGATGTAAATATTTCAGGATTAATTCATTTCAGAGTCTGTGCTTTTCCTACAAAGTACTCAAATAATATTTGAAAGCTTCAAACTATTTTATACATATCGGCATTGTATTTCCTGGCTCTCAGACAAGCCCACATCTTACATTTGGATGGGACTCTTCCCAAATAATATAAAATTGAGGCCATAACATGACACGTGTACCACAACCTTTCTGAATGGGCAGTATAGTAGGTCACACAACTCCATACGCTTCCAAATATGGCACTGTTATTAACATTAGGATTAATAAATGGAAATCATCTGCTGGGCTGGTCTCTCTCCTCTTTCTGTTGGTTCCTGCAACACAAGTTTGGCTAAGGCACTAGTGAAACTTGGCAGAGGTGATGAATTGGGGAGGTGCCAAAGGCTCACCACCTGCCACATTCCTTCTCCACAAGTGCCCTGGGTATTAAATTGGATCTTGCTGCAGCATTTCAAACTTGTGTGTGTGTGTGTGTGTGTGTGTGTGTGTGTGTGTGTGTGTAATCACATAATAAAAATGTTTTTAAATTTCTTTCAAAACTGAGTGGTAACTAAAATAAGACAATAGTGACAT